TTTTAAGCGTGTAATTATCTATAAATAATACAAAATCCGTCTTGTGTTTATGCGTTGACTTTTCCGACCCACCACGAGCTTTCTTTGGGCCGATCTTGCTATGGGCCGAATGGGTATAGGCCGAGACTGTATGGGCCGAATCTGTTATGGGCCGGTTGGACCCTGAGTCAGACAGTACCCTACTCTTTGCGATTTTGCGTCATCCCTGCGCTTTGTTTATTTATTTTTGTTAAAATCTTTGAAATTACTAATGTTGAAAGCGATAACTAAAACTCTTACATCTTATATATCTTATTCTTATATCTTATATATCTTTAATCTTAGCTGTGAATATTCCACTTTGATAAAAACGTCCCACTTCAGAATATAGATGACGTCATCACAGAGTAAATCGTCTGAATGCGATCGACGCGCCCTCGTCGTGGTTGGCGCATGCTCAGGCGATAGTAAACAATAATAATTTTCAGCTGTACTACTAACGATCAAACAGTCGACGTAGTTTGCTGTTTTTACGGCTTTTATGTAGGTAATAAATCATCGGGAATAGATAAGGATGTCCGAAATTAGACAAAGATGCGTAGAGCGGAGTGATAAAGAGGACGTGGGCTTGAATAAGGTGAGGCTACTTGCAATCGTATCACGGCAATCGCTTTATATTGCTACTGCTGCTGGAGTAAGTTCGGTTAATCATGATTGGTTGCTCGCTACCGACATTGACAGTCATTGTCATTGACCCCGTTTTCCTGGCACTCATAAAATTCGACACCACGCGAATAATAATAATAATTGTACGAGTGATAAGGTGGTAACATGAAATATGACTGGCCGATTGTATTGTTATTAATATTAAATGTCGGTACAGTATACGCAACACAATTATTTTGACAATACATGCAAGTCCAGGACCGTCCTGCATTAATTATCAAATTCAATTAAAGTCCCTCTTAACCTCATAATTAATTAATCGTCTTCAAAGTCAAAGAGAATAAGTATGTGATCGAAGACGGAATAAATTATTAAATGTATATATCTCCCATTTTAATTTTATAACTATTACTGGGTATTAGTATTAATACGAGACAAGAAAGTCGCAAGCAAATTTAGTGACCAAACCTGAAACCTTCTAGCTAACAAAACGTACCAAAACCTAGCTTCTGGTGGCTCTTACCGCTTCTCTGGGGAATATAGTCACAGGCTAATATAGCAATTTTCTGCTCTTATATATGAGAGCAAATGTTTGTAGCCACTGTTCTTCTTCCAAACCACGGTTCACGTACCGGTTCTTCTTCCGAGCCACGGTTCACATACCAAAACCTAGCTTCTGGTGGCTCTTACCGCTTCTCTGTACTTCCACGTTGTTATTATCGAGGTGCGCGCTATTGTCTAGTATGTATTTACATGTCAGCGAGCATTTATGAGAGTTGATAAGGGAGAAATTCAAACTCGTTTTTATTACGTTGCATAGTAATGCAGGTATGGATGTTTGATAACCTTTAAACATAACTCCTTTCCAAACTGCCTGATCAAATTGCATGCCAAAATTAATTAATTCTTGAAGTCTGACCAAAAATCTAGAAGTCGCTGAATCAAAATATCAGGCTCACAAACTTCCACTTATTTCGAAGCAAGGTTTAGAATTATGGAGATGAAGAAACGTATTTGCAATCGCTTTGTGGTTATCGTGCTCTCTCTGCGTTTTCCAGATAGAAGAGATCAAGAACGAAGTGTTTGCCGAAAAGAGAGAGGGCGAGGAAGAGAGGGGCGATGGCGAGGGCGAGGCAGTGCGTTCGGAGCCCGAGAGGGAAAACGAGGAAGCGGAAGGAGAAGGAAGCGAGAAGCCCACCGCTAAAGAGAAGCATTCGGACGACGAAGCAGAATCGGAGGACAAGCTCCTGGTCACGGCGGAGGACATAGCCGATCCCGTGGCGCCACCTGCCGGGAAGGAATCGAAGGAGAACGAAGTGTTGGAAACTGCGCTCTCGGGTCTGCCGACGAGGTGAGGGGGGGTCTCCTTCCTGACGTCTAAAGGGTGAGGGGGGGTCTCCTTCCTGACGTCTAAAGGGTGAGGGGGGGTCTCCTTCCTGACGTCTGTCCACACGTTGAGTAAGGGTGAGGGGGGGTCTCCTTCCTGACGTCTGTACGTGTAACACCGCTCGTTCCAAGGGCGTTACAAGGGCGGGAGTAGCTCTCCCCCCCCTCCCCGACACGATGCGACGCGGAGGTATTGATACCCAACACCGCCCCCCGGATATATATACCCTCAGATATAATATCTGATACTATAATATCATAAAACCACATTCACTTACACTAGTGGTAACAGGTTCCTAACATTTTTTGAGTTATGGATTCCTTTGACAATCTGGTGAAAGCTACGGACCCCTCCCCGGAAAAATGCACATAAGCACATAAACACACCTTTTTTTTATGCGCCTTGTTCACGGACCCCCTGAAGCCCATCCACGGACCCCAAAGGGGTGCATGGACCACAGGTTAAGAACCTTTGCTGTAGGTGCTGTAGGACAATAGAACCTGTCCATGATAGAATGTTTATCAAACATTAGCATCTGATGGTTATCGTAGGGTTTGTGTTGCATGCACGTGCCCAACGTTTGTACGTGTATCCAAAAGTTCGTGACGAAAATGCACCCGGCAGATAGATGCGATATGATATGACTACTAGGCACTTAGGATATGACTACTAGGCACTTAAAAAAAAAAAAACCTAACCCTAACCCTAACCCTAA